GCTCTAACCCACCAGCCCCCACCGCCCCTCCCAGAGCTGGGGAGAGAACCCAGGAGTCCGGCTCTCCTGCTTTGACCAGCCTGAATGTCTCTTCCCCCAGCTGTGCTGCTATGAGCTCCGGCGCCGGCCGCCCTGCGAGACCCCAAACGCCAGCCGCGCCCGAAGGGGAAGAGTTCAGTCGCTGGCGTCTGCTGAGCCCAACCTGGGATCGGATCCCTACTGCGTGAACATCCCCCCGAGCCGGGAGCCTGGATGCCTGGCTCCTCTCCCCGGCTCTGGGAGGGGAGTGGGGGCTGGTGGGTTAGAGTAGGCGGGGCTGGGAGCCGGGACGCCTGGGTCCTCTCCGCGACTCTGGGAGGGGAGTGGGGGCTGGTGGTTAGAGCAGGGGGTGCTGGGAGACAGGACTCCTTGGTTCTTTCCCCGGGCCTGGGAGGGGAGTGGGGTTAGAGAAGGGGGGGCTGGGAGCCAGGACTCCTGAGTTCTCTCCCCAGCCTGCACGGGTCTGAGTGAGACACAGGACAGGGGGAGACTGCGTGTGATGTTTTATTGGAGACGGGCCGCGCTAGGGCTTTTAGCTGGTAATAAAAGGAGCCTGACTTTTCGGTAGCGGCAGCTCTGGTCTCGTCTCCGCGGGCCGCCCCCCACCAGCCAGGAGAGGTGATCGGCCCCGAGGTAGCTGGAGTGCAAGGCTCACGGGGGCCGCCGCTGCCGCGCCTAGTCACCCGCTGCGCCGAAGTTCATGGCGGCCGTCAGCGTGGCGGAGAGTTTGCTGGCGATTTTCTCTGGGGGAGGGAGAAACCAGCCGCAGTGAGAATCCCCCCCTTGGTGAGACCCACACGCCCCGGCCAGCAGAGCACGATCGCAAAGGGGGAGCGGGGAGCTGCCCTGCCATGAAATGCACCTCCAGACAGCCTGCCAGGGTGGGAGGGGAAACTGAGGCACAAAGCGAAGCAGTAGAGCTGGGGATGGAACCCAGGAGTCCTGATTGACAGTTCACTAGTCCTAGCTAAGGGACAACATGGCCTAGTACACAGGACGCCTGGGTCCTCTCCTGGTTCTGGGAGGGGAGTGGGGTCTGGTGGGTTAGAGCAGGGGGGGCTGGGAGCCGGGATGCCTAGGTTCTCTCCCCAGCTCTGGGAGGGGAGTGGGGGCTGGTGGGTTAGAGCAGGGGGGGCTGGGAGCCAGGACGCCTGGGTTCTCTTCCTGGCTCTGCCTTGGACCTTGGCCAAGTCCCCTCTCTGTGCCTCAGTTTCCCCTCTCTACCATCCATTTCTAGGCTGAGCCCTTTGGGCAGGGACCGTCTCTTATCGCTCAGTCTGGACGGCTGCCTTCCCCAGATGCCCCCACGACGAATCCCTAAGCACCCCTCCGCCAACCTGCTCTTTTCTGCTGCTTCTTCCGCCTCCTGCTAGCGGCCCGCAGCCCCTGCCCTTGGTGCAGGGGGTCTAGGGCTGAGATCTCCTCCAGGCTGGGGGCTCTGGGAACAGGTTTCTCCACGGCAGCGGCTGCTTTGTTCTTAGCCTTCAGTTCCACCGTCATGGGGCCTAGCTGCAGGGAGAAAGAGGAGAGTGAGGCTTGCCAAGGGCACGGGCCTGGCACTGGGCAGCTGCCTCATACTCCACAATCTCAGCGTTCAGAGAAAAAGAAAATGACGTTTCTAGCTCAAACGGCTGCAGAGAAAAGGATTGACCTGGGATCACTGCTTGCCTGAGGCTGCAGAGAGCCTGAGCTCATCCCTCAAATGGGGTGGGGCCTATTATGCAAATGAGCTAGGAGGAGGAGTCTCCTGTTGGCACCAAGAGGGGGTGGGTCTTTGAAGCTTCAGCCTCTCAGGAGGACAATTTTGGGATGCCTGTGTGGGCAGAGCTTGTGGTGTAGGGGGTGGGGCTTAGGGGCCATGCTTCTCCCCTCCCTCCATACCTCCAGAGCTCTGTCTTCGTCCATGGCTGTTTCTTCCTCTCCCGATGTCTCCTCTTCCTCCATCTCTGCCCCGGCCCCACTGGTGAGGCCGGCGGGGGCGAGGCCGATGCCCACGGGAACCGACGGGAGGTCTGGGCGGGGAACGGACACAGAGCGGGCACCGTAAGCAGATGCTCTGATCTCACCCACCCCCGGGGGAGAAAGTGGTACTGCCCCCCAAAGGCCACATAGCACGGCTGGGAGCCAGGACTCCTGGGTTCTCTCCTGGCTCCGGGAGGGGAGTGGGGGCTGGTGGGTTAGAGCAAGGGGGGGTGGAAGCCAGGACTCCTGGGTTCTCTCCTGGCTCCAGGAGGGGAGTGGGGGCTGGTGGGTTAGAGCAGGGGGGGCTGGGAGCCAGGACGCCTGGGTTCTCTCTTGGCTCTGGGAGGGGAGCGGGGGCTAGTGGTTAGAGCAGGGGGGGCTGGGAGCGAGGACTCCTGGGTTCTCTCCTGGCTCTGGGAGGGGAGCGGGGCATAAAAGGTTACCAGCCAAAGCCTCCTGGTTGCCTTGCTCCAGTGCCTCGAAGTCAAAGGCCTTGCCCATCTCCGTGACGATCTCGGCGCTGATGTGGGTGGGCAGCGTGTGGGTCTCTGGGGGGTGCGTGAAATAGCTGATCTTCCCACTGGGAGGAGAAAGAACTGGGGCTCTTAAAGGGTCCCATTCCCCACCCCCCCAGCCAGCCAGTCCCCTGCCCTAGTGCCAGATTAGGGCTGGCGCCCCCCCCGCCCCCTTTCTGCCCCTTCCCCACCCACCTCATCCAGTCGCTCAGCACAGCTTTGGCCGCCTTCTCGTGATCGGGCACGCCTCCTTTCCTCAGTTTCCCCTTTCTCCGGGCGAGGTGCGCTAGGAACTCCGTGACGTCCCGGTAAGCCGGCACACCGTAGTGCTGCATGATCTGGGGTGGGGAGCAGCCAGACACGCCCATCAAACCACTCCCGGTTCCCCTCAACCTTCCTTTGCCTCCCTCTTCGCTTCCGCGGTCGCATCTCCCTCTCCACCTTCCCTCGGCCCACCCCCACGCTGCGGCCCCCACCCGCCCATTGCTGGATCCTGCTGCATTCACAGCCTTGAGGGCTGCTGCTCAACTGGTGACGGGTCAGGGAAGAGCCATGAGAAATCGTCAAGGGTTAGCAAACCGGCCCGGGAGTGAGAAACGCAAGGAGCTCGGTCTATTGCGCTTGAGAGAGACGGTTAAGGGGTGACTTGACCCTAGGCTGTAGGAACCCACGTAGGTACCCAAAGACCTAATAACAAGCTCCTCAAGCTGGTGTAACACCATCCACAGGCTGGCAAGTGAAACTGGACAGATTCCGCCCGGAAACAAGGCACCAATTCGTAACGAGGAGAGTACGGAACAATTTCCAAGCAGCGTGGTGTGGTCTCCATTGCTGGCGGTTTCTCAATCACGCGGAGAGCTTCTCCGAAACGCTCGGCTCCAGGAATGAGTTTGGGGAGGTTTTCTGGCCTGTGTTGAGCTGGATGATCGCAGCGATGTCTATGAACCGGATAAAGTCGTCTCATTCTGAGCCCTTCCTCCCGAGAGTCTATGAATAGTTTCATTTTGCTGGCTAGCCTCAAAGGGTTGCAGCGTGAATACTAGAATTTATAAAAGGGAAACCTCAGTAATTGAGTATCAGAGGGGTAGCCGTGTTAGTCTGGATCTGTAAAAAGCAACAGAGAGTCCTGTGGCACCTTTAAGACTAACAGATGTATTCGAGCATAAGCTTTCGTGGGTGAATACCCACTTTGTCAGACGCATGTAGTGGAAATTTCCAGAGGCAGGTATAAATATGCAGGCAAGAATCAGTCTGGAGATAACGAGGTCAGTTCAATCAGGGAGGGTGAGGCCTCAGGAACTGAGTTTGACAAACTGGAAGAAACACAGATGAGCCCGTGAAACATTCTGATCTCGTCTAATCGACGTTCTTAGTCGGAAAATGGCAGCAGGTTGACTAGCCGAAAGTCGTCCATGAGAAATCTCTTCCTGGGACAGGTATTTCCATCCATGGGGAAGGAAGTGTTAGTTTCCTTCCTGGGACGAGGAAGAGAGGGGCTGGGGTTTGAGTCTAAACCTTCTGGGTTGGAACCAGACATGTAAAGAACTGGCTGGAATCGACACATAAGAACGGAAGAGCTGGAGTTGTCAATGGAGGAGCCAGCGACCAAGGGAAGAGCTTGCGTTGACCAACGGAAGACCCAGTGGCCAACGGAAGAGCCAACAACCTGGCCATGAACACTCAACTGTTGGGATGCTGACCACGTGAGGAGTGCGTGGAGGTGAGAACAGACCAACGGCGACAACGGAGAGACAGGGACCTCTACTCTCCCCCATATGGCCTCTGCCACCGACCTAAGGCCTCTCCACCTGCTCCAGGTGAACAATCAATTCTCCCCGGTCTTCAAAGACCAGCGCTGCTTCTCCTCATTGCTCCAGAAGGAGCTGGTGGGGGGGGAGACTGGGGAGAAAACAGGGGGGTGGGAGCCCCATGTCTGCTGTGGCAGGAAAGCGGGAGCCCTGGACGGGTCCTCCCAGGACCCTCAAGGCTGGGGCACAATAGACTGGCGCTCCTTTGGGCCCCGGGCCGGTGAGTTCAGATCCGACGCTTCTCAGGGCCTGTCTCCTGGTTGACGGCATTGGCCCCGCTGGTGGTGGCGTCGCCCCACTGAGTGCCCCCCTAGCAACCGCCCCCTCCTGTACCTGCTCCTTGGAGCATCGTCTCAAGATGGCGTCCACGGGCGTCACCGGGTCGGCCACCTGCTCCACCTTGAGGCAGCTGCGCAGTACCAGGGCGGCGTCTGTGGCCGCGGTCGCCATGACCAGGCCGGGGCAGTCCAGGAGCTTGACGTGCCGGTCTAGCTGGACCTCCTGCAGGCACCTGGGGGGAGAAAGGGGGCATCAGCCGAGGAGCAGGGCAGCGCTGGGGGGACCCCCACCCCCGCTGTGGGGCAGGAGGGCTTACTTGGTGATGCCGGGCGTAGCCCCCACGCTGCAGGCCCGGCTCCGCTTCAGGCTGTTAATCAGGCTGCTTTTGCCAACGTTGGGGAAGCCTGGAACAAGAGCACGGGGGCCACGAGTCAGAGAGAGAACCCAGGCGTCCGGCTCCCCGCCCCCCCCCCCCCCCGCCCTAACCACTGGAGCCGTCTCCTCTCCCGGAGCCGGGCAGAGAACCCAGGCGTCCTGGTCCCCCGCAGCGAAGGGCCAGTGTCTCTCACCTACGACCCCCACGCTGATGGCTGTCTTGAGGTCCTGGCTGCGACTGTAGTTGGCCAGCACCTTCAGCAGGCAGTCGGCCCCCACGCACGCCCCACTGGCCAGCAGCTCGCAGGAGGCCTTGGCCACGGGCACCTTGCTCTGTTGCTGAGGGGGGCGGGAGAGCAGCAAACGGATCAGGACAGGGCTCACACAGTTATATCCATCCCTGCCCCGCTCGCCCCTGCAGAGCCGGGGAGAGAACCCAGGAGTCCTGGCTCCCAGCCCCCCAGCTCTAACCCACAAGCCCCCACTCCCCTCCCAGAGCTGGGGAGAGAACCCAGGCGTCCAGGCTCCCAGTGCCCTGCCACTAGACCCCACTCCCCTCCCCTCCCAGAAGCCAAGATTGGGGAAAGGTCCCAGGCCCCATTTGCGCCCCCCCCCAGCCAGCCAGACCCCACCCCCCTCACCAGGTGCCGGCTCTGCTGCTGGGTGGAGGCTTTGAAGGCCACGGTGGGGAGTTCGTTCCTCAGGTACTTCAGCCACCCGGCCACCACCTCTTTGGACACCAGGTCTGGGGGGGGCAGGAGCACGAAAGGTTAACCCAGCATTTCTGCTTCCCTCCTCCTCCCTTAGGAGCCCAGGTCACACCCCCAGCGAGGGAAACTGAGGCACCACAGGACTTGCCCAAGAGAAGGCAGAGCCGGGGAGAGAACCCAGGAGTCCTGGCTCCCGCCTGCCTGGCTCTAACCACCAGCCCCCATTCCCCTCCCACAGCTAAAGATAGAACCCAGGAGTCCTGGCTCCCAGCCCCCCTGCTCTAACCACTAGCCCTC